GCAAATCAAAAAAGTTGGCCGTGCTAATTTCAAAGGGGGGGGGGGGGAATTTGGTGCCGAGGTGGGACATCGTTGGAAACGTGGTTAGTTTTCGCTCCTTAATTAAAACCAGAATTGTAGTTTCGCTTGGCCCGGAGGTAGAAGACGCGGGGGTGGGGGGGGGGAAGGGATATTAATTTATGAGCGGTCCAAAATCTCAAAATATCAGACTTTATTGTTTCGAGGGGGGTGGAAAAAAATGAAAGAAGTTTTGCCTTCGTAAAGGGAAATTAGAACACTAGCTGTATTAATATATCTATCTATTTCTATATTATGTACAATCTTGGGGGGGAGGAGAATGGTTTGTTTTGCTCGAAAGTGGTAGTCCTATCATGATAGATAGCTTGGCACTCACCAAAAAAAAATAATAATATATCTAGAGGTCATTGCACAGGTCAACCAATTTAGCAGCACATTTAAGGCAGACCAAGCCCATCGTGCACTCCTCAACCGCCGGCTGGGGAGGATGGGGATGGGGGTGGCAATTGCAGGAGGGTGGAGAGGTTAGGGACACGTAAACCAAGTCGGTGTTTTCTCCATTTGGGCCGCTTTTAAGAGGGGCGGACATCAACTCCCAGAATCCCCCAGCCAGCAGAGCTGGCTGGGGGATTCTGGGAGTTGAAGTCCGCCCCTCTTAAAAGCGGCCCAAATGGAGGAAACTCTGATTTGAAACATCCTTATCTTTCATCAAGATCCAAAATGACAAAAAAACTACAGTCTCCTATTCCAGTATCAGTTCAGCTGCTTACCACAATCCAATTCCACTGCTTCCCCCCCCCCATTTTCAAGGGGGGGGGGGAAGAAAGAAAAAAAAGAGAGAGAGAACTATGAATAATGTTTGTGGGTTGTTGTGTCTTTTTTTTCCTCGCTCTATGCCCAAACGAGACGCGATCAGCCTTTTTTTTTTTTTTGCTTTATTCGAAGAAAAATCGCCGTGCCGATTCCAAAGTCTACTTGACAGATCTTTTCACACGAGGAAGAAAGGAAGGAAGGAAGGAAGGAAATGAAGGAATCGTGGTTGGAAGATTGGACACACACACACACAGACACACACACACAGACCTACGCACCGACAAGCTCCCCAACATCGAACTCCAATGGCATTTAAGAAGGAACAGGTAGAAAGGTGGGAAGGGAAGGACGCAGTTCTCTTGAAAGTCAACCTTCTTCTTGATTCACCCAAGTTCTGATGACACTACTAGAAGATGCACCAACCCCCCCCCCGAAGTCTCGACTCAACATCCTGTCCCCCCCATCCCAAATCTCTAGAAATCCAGAGGAACCAACATCCATCTCAAGGGGACACGCTTGCCAGAGTGCAAACTCCATCTCAAGAGGACATGCTTGCTATCAACCAGAGACAACCATCATCACTGCTGGATCTGAGGCGCCTTCCGCCTTCCCCGTCGAAAGGGGAAAGGCGGTACTGAGCCGTCAGGAAGCCAATCGGTCAAGGAAAGAGAGATCTGGAACCTCTCGGACACCCGCTTCGATATTCATCCACCCCGCTTCCTTAAAAGGAGCTGCAAGTTCCTGCCACACACATGGTGGGACTTTCTCAGAACGTCCAGCTCACGGCGGGCGCGGCGAAAACAGAGAGCGGAAGGAAAGGCGAGGGACGGCAGTGTGAGGTGGCGAGGAGAGAAAATTACCAACCAAGTGTCGTTTTTTTTCTCCAACAGCTCGGAGCACTTTGGTCAAATCCAGGGGTTTCCCCAAACTTGGCCACTTTTAAGACTTATGGACTTCAACTCCCAGAATTCTCCAGCGAGCATAGCTTGCTCTCTTGGGATCCCTTCCTCTGCACTCTCTCTCTCCGCTTTAGGAGGTTAAGAGAAAAAAGAAACGGACCCGGCTGGCTGGAGAATTCTGGGAGTTGAAGTCCCACAAGTCTTAAAGTGGCCAAGTTTGGAGACCTCTGGTCAAATCCACTTGGGAGCAGAAAGCTCTTCCAGATGTTCAGTGTTTGCAGAAGTTGCCAAGAGAAGGAGAGCGAGTCGAGTGTGTGTAGAATTCCCTACTGCTGGTGCTTTGGATAAAGAGGACCAGAACGGATTGAGTCCAAAGTACTCCGAGTTAAAAAAAACCACCTCACCACAAGTTTGGACAAAGACCGGCTCACTTCCTCGTTCCCTCGAACAAAAGAGAAAGACGACCAAGGCTCCCGAGAGAAAAAGAACGGCTACGTTTTAGACTTTCCACGCTGGCCTTCAAACTTGTCTCCTCCCCACCCTGGCCAAAAAATTAAAAAAAAAAGAACCATTCCCCTCCTCAACCTCCATCACCAGTCTAAGCCGACCGAAAGTCCATTAAGGGAATTTAAAAAAAAAAAAACTGGAGGGGGGGGAAAAGCATGTTATATACTCAGAATCACAGCTGCTTCGTAAAAAAAAAAAAAACCAAAAAATCGGACACGTCAAGAAACTCCGTGCCATTGCTGGGGGTGGGTGGGGGGGGGGGGTGTGTGTGTGTGTGTGTGTGTGTGTGTTTTGAAAGACCACACAAAAAAAAAAAAAAGAATGGGAAAAAAAAAAACCACAACTCCCATTGGAAAAAGGGTTATCATCATCAACCAGCAGCCGAGTTTGGAAAAAAACGAAGCAGCACTGTTGACTTCACGGCCTTACAATTTTTCCACCGATTCAATCGCACGCGTTTAAATCCCCCCCCACCCCGCCAGCTTTCCCCTCCGCTGCCCCCCACCACCCCACACCCCGATTTTTATTTTATTTTTTTTTTTTTTCTACTTTTTACATTCTCACAAGTGCTGTTCCACGTTTGCATCCAAAGGTGTTATGTCGCTGTCTTTGGAACGCTCGACTTAGAAGAAAAAAAAAAAAAAAAGAAGGAAGGAAGGAAAAAAAAAGAAAAAAACGGAGGGCAATTGAAAAACGAGGAAGGAGGCATTATCCAGATTCTCTCCAGAGCAAAGCAGCAGATATTTTTTTTTTGGAGTTGGGTTTGTGTGGAGGGAACAGAAGGAGAAGGGGAGTTTGAACTTAGCTGAAATGGAATTACGAAGAGATGCAGGCATGCACCCAGGTTCATATTGCTACCAAGTGGAATGTCGGAAATGCACCGCGATGCCTTTTTGTTTTTCGAGGTGGGGGCGGGGGATGGGATTGGGCTCTGAGAAATGACCAAAAAAAAAAAAAAAATCAAGATCTAGAGGGTGATATATATATATGTATATATATCTGAATGCTATTATTCATAAAAACCTTGTTTAGTAATAAAAAAATTGCTTTGTTTAAATATGAATGTTATAAGTCTGCTTCTCAGCGCATGGTTAGGAAATCACAGTCTCTCCGAAAAGCAGGAACGCGGCTCCTACTACAACTCCATATCTTGGGCCTCGTCCTCTGAAAAGTCAGACATGGAGCTCTCGGAAGAACTGTCCCCGGTGCCTTCTTCCTGCTCTTTGAGGGCTTCCTCTGTTGCATATTTCTGAATGTATTCTGGAGGGAGGGAAGGGAAGAAAACACAACAGAGGTAACGATCAACTCCAACGGTCCGAGATCAAAAACACATCAATCCATCCATCTTTTTTTTATCGTCCACCTCTCAATCTATCATCTCTATCAATTTCTCTCTCTCTCCCCCTAAGTATCTGTCTTCTCTACTTATCTACCTACCATATCTCTTTGTCTGTCTGTCTGTCTGTCTCTATCTACATCTACTGCATCTATCTACTGTATCTATCGTATCTCTCTCTCTCTATCCATCCAAACTTCTATCTATCTCTTATCTATTCCCTCTATCATCTCTCTCTTTACCTACCTATCTACCTAACCAACCAACCCATCCATCCGTCATCTCTCTACCAACCTACCATCACTATCATCATCTATCATCTCTCTATCATCATCTATCATCTCTCTCTATCAATTTCTAAGTATCTGTCCTCTCTACTTATCTACCTGCCTACCTACCCTATCTCTTTGTCTGTCTGTCTATCTCTATCTACATCTACTGTATCTATCATATCTCTCTATCCATCCACCTAAACTTCTATCTATCTCTTATCTATTCCCTCTCTATCATCTCTCCCTCCCTCTGTCATCTCTCTTTACCTACCTAACCACCAACCAACCCATCCGTCTTCTCTCTACCCACCTACCTACCCATCGCTATCATCTCTCTATCATTTATCATCATCTCTCTATCATCAATCAATCAATCAATCATCTATCTTGGCCTTTCTTTCTTTCTTTCTTTTTCTTTCTTTCTTTCTTTCTTTCTTTCTTTCTTTCTTTCTTTCTTTCTTATCTATCTATCCATCCATCCCTCTTGGCCTCTCTCTCTCTCTCTCTCTGTTTTTTCTGTCATCTGTCTATCTATGTATCTATCTACCTACCTACCTACCTACCTATCTCTATCTATCTATCTATCTATCTATCTATCTATCTATCTATCTATCT